CCAGCTCTGTTTTTTGTAAACACACTGTTCTCTTGGGAAGGAATCATTTATATGTTTTAAAACAGATCTCTCCCAGGGAAATAAGCTTAAGAGATGACATACAAAACATACATTATACTGCTGTCAGAGTATACATAGAATGAGTTTTTAACTTTTAACTTCTATTCTTATGTTTTGCTTCCTGCAAATGTACATTCTAAATTGTCAGTCTTATACAGGGCTCCAGTTGCCTTGTGTCATGGTTTCTCTGTGCCTCTGTTTTCATAATAGCTGAACCCAAAATGTTTGGGGCGAAACCTTCATTTTCCAAATGATCAGCTACAACAGGTATTATTTGTATGAAATGCTCAACATGTATGAGAACTTTTTCTAGAGCCTATAGTTGTGCACTTTACAGTTCTTAACAGGTTTGCTGAGCAGTATTAGCAGAAAATATTTTTATACCTGTTAAGTATTATGTAATTGCTATTTGAAAGGTTATGCTTTAGGAATGCTCCTTGAGGCCTCTTCTGTTTTAGAGTTTTTAAAAATTGATGTAATCAAGTAAGCATTAGTCATTTAGACTTGTGATAAAGCTTTTTGTGTGAAATTTCACTGTATATACGTATTTAAGGAAAATACTGCATTCCTTGGATTTTTTCAGACAATTATTTTGTGTTAGTCTTCCTGCTAGCTACTGTTTGTTTTGTGTCATAAAGATGTAGGGCATTCCAGAAATCTTAGTGTATTTTTTGTCCAATTTGTTTAACTAGTAAGGAATTCACAGTTAAGTGATAGAGTCCATGCTTCCTTCATGCAGAAGGCCTCAATTAAACTTTGACATTTCCAGTTAAAAAGAAAAGAGCTGGTGATACGAGAAGTTCCTCCAGGATGTTGCATTGACACTGCCAATTAGAGTAGCAGTACTAGATTAGACAGATTAGAGGTGCTTTAGTATAAAAACAGTTTCTTATAACTCAGTTCAGATTATGTGATGAAGTAGGCTCAGATATATTATGTCTATAAAGTACTTGAATCTAATCATGTAAACGTTGAATTGCTAGTGAATGTAATTTTTGAACTGCTAATAATTTAAAACATTTCTAACTTTCCTAGCATTACTAGAAATATTTGTTCTGATGTAACAAGAAAGGGACTAGACATTTTCTTTCAAGAAATAACTTGTCATTACTGTATTCTCATTGAAGAACACAAATAGATTTCTAAGAAATGCCAGGAATTTCAAATAATTTGAAAATGATTCTAGTGCAAAATGTTCTCATAACCCATGGATTACTGTAGAAAACCTTTAGGGAATCAGAACAAAAAAAAAACAAAGTGGATAATCGCTGAAATGTTTATTCAGTATATATCTTTTTGTGAAAAGCCTTAAAGATATTATTAGTCATGGTTTTTTGAACATGAATCCTGCTATTAACACACAAGTGTCAAAACATCTATTTTTTATAGTTCTTTTAGAATCTAGAGTCTTTTACCATGTTCTCGTATCCTTTTAGTACAGCAGAATTCTATATCAGAATATTTGAGTCATTGTTGTGAAAAATATTGCATACTAATATAAGCCCATATGAAAATATGTCTTCTGGGCAAATCCAAATTGTGTATCTTTCCAAATGGACATCTTACTTTGCTTCTTTGAACTACAGCATCTACACCATATGCTACATTACAGCTTTCCATGCTGCCCACAATGCAGAATTAACTTTCCTCAGGTTGGTTACTGATGTTTGTACTGTTTAAAATTTCACAACTAGATATACAGTTGGAACCAATACTGAGTTGGCATTTTGACAGATGAGGTAGAAAGTCTCAACCATTCATTTGATTTATGTTTTGTCTTATATGGAGTGTTTAAAATTTCCAAACAGCCTGTAAAGGACATACTGTGTGCGTAAAAATCATTTTTAAAACATGGTTGTAGAATATGTAAAAATTCAATCATTAAGAATTTGCTACCATTTATCATTATCTAAAATCTATCAAAGTGCTCTTTGCTTTATCAAAGAGATTGTCTTAAAACATCTTTATAATTAAGAAATATTGAATCTAAAACTCAAATATTTAATTGTAATTTAATTGTAATATTGGAACATGAAAGATGGAGCAGTTATATGCTCATCCCAAGGCTGACTAAGAGGGGTGCAGGATGAATTGGAAGTTCTGCCATTTGATAAGGAAATTTGCAGACATTTATACAACGTATCCATTGATGTACTGGCACTGAGGTTTGACAAAAATCCTAAGCCTGTTCTTTTTCCTTACATATCCAAATGTGGGCTATACCAAATGTTTTTGGTTGATGTTATTCTATACTGTAGTAAATAGGAGGTTAGAAAGAATTAAAATAATGCCTTCTTCCTGGTCTGACTGCAATGAACATTGGCTTTGACAGTTACCCAGAGGCACTCACCATTCCTTCCTTCTACAGTACATATGTATACAGAAGGATAGCAGTCAAGCAGAAAAACCCTATAGCAGGGGTGTCAAACGCGCAACATCACGTGACGTGTCAAGACTTTTTTGCCATTGCTGGCAATGGGGTGGACGCGGTTTTGCTATGATGCATCCGACCCGCGGGCCGGCAGTTTGACACCCCTGCCCTATATTCACTTGTGAGTGAGCTTTTTAGAAGTGCATGAGATTTATTTCTGAGTCAATATGTACAGAATTGCACTATGAACTGTAGATACTAGAGTTTTATTACAAATTAAAAGCACTGAGGAGCAGAAAAATATTTTACCAATTCATATAGCCAACACTGTGGAACAATGTAAGAGAATTTAACAGGGTTTTTGGTTTTGTTGCCTTTTTTCAGAGGCAGAAGAAAATGAGCTGACAAGAATTCAGGATCATACATTTTTCGAACCCATGAATATATTCTTCCATTCCACTGCTAAAAGATGTTATGTATGTTGATACTATTTTATCAACAAAATATATTCCCCAAATCTGCTCATTCTATCACTCCAGAGCAGATCTGGGAGAGATAAGATAAATTTTGTGTCATATATGGAAACTAACTGATATAATATTGGATGTGGTCCCAAATCAATAGTTTTTCTTTTGTTTATTTTAGCAGCAAATGCCATTGGTAGAATGAAATCAAGTTAAAATTACCCATGAGTATGATCAATTAAAAGCCATGTAGTTATTTGCAATTTTTCATTGTAGTGCAGCACTACTGTGTATTATGAAGACTGAGAAGCAGGTCTTACTATATTCACTTTGGCTTTCACCCAAAATAAATGTGGTTCAAATTTAATAAGATAAATATCTAGTTGGATTAGTATATAAGGTTGCAATCTTATCCATTTCTATTTGGAAGGAGTGCCACTGTATTCGGTAGGAGTAATTTCTATGTCAACATGCATAGGGTTAAGCTGCTAAACTCAACAAACTGTTTTGAATAATAGTAGCTTTTAAGCTGATGAGGCCAGATTGTCTAAAATATTACAAAATGGTTTAACTAGTGGCCTAGTATATTTTTTAAAAAATGATATAAGTATGCAATTTCCTGCTAAATCAATGAACTATTTGGGATTGTCTCAAAGAATAATTAAAAAATAGCTGTTTATCAACTTGGATATTTGCAGAGACCAAGCCTATACTTATTTTTTTATTGAAAAGATTCCATAGAATATTCTGAGCAATTAAGCATTAAAACATTGCCCAATAGATACTGATATTTTTACTTACCTTGTTATTAGAAAGATTCTTAATTGTTTCTTCTAAAATTCACATTACAACAGCTTCCCTTAGAAAGAGAAAGTACCACAGTACATTTCTTTTTGTTTTAAATCCAGTTGAAAGAGGAATACAAAAGTCACATTTATGTTAAACAAAAGTTATTTTGTCCTAACAGACATGACAAAACCTGTCTTCATTCCTTTCTGTTCAGCTCAGCCAATATACTACTTAGCTTCAGCAAGTTAATCAGTCACCAGATTCTACAGCCTTTGTTTTCAAAGATGTCTAATTCTTACATGACACTACCTGTATATATAAGATCCATACCCTAAACACCTAAACTAAAGGTGGTGCTACATTTTGGTCTATACTTTAGAGCACAATGTCATTGTGTACAGCCCCTATTTATAATAGCAAAAGACAAACTGCCCTTCTAGTGGATAATTTGTAAAGTGCTGAATCAAAATTTGTCAGAATTTCTGTCAGAATAAAAATCTGATATTTTAATTAATTTAAAATTAATTAAAAACATGAGCTCATGTTGCATGGAAAAACAACTCTTTTATGCATAACATTTCCTTTTTTAATTTTCTGTCCTAAAATTGATTTAGTTACCATCTATTCTACACAAAGAAGATATGACTACAATGTAATGCTTATTCAGTTTGGCATAAGACCAATTGAACTTCTGAATAAATATGCAAAGAGTTACATTGCAGCACAACAAACAAATTTATACAGTGGATCACTGCATCACAGCAGGCAATGATCAGGCTACAGTTCAGCTATCCATCTTTAAAAACTATTTTCCAATTTTAGAGATGTTTCTACAATCACCTTTGCCTGAAATGTAAATGTTAAATGAAACCTGATGAAAAATCACTCATTGAAGTTACAAACTGATGTAAGCTATAAGTATATAACTATATACTGATATATAAATATTCATCAAAGAACACACACAGAGAATAAGTGACATATTTGTACAGCATTCAGAATTAAATTTCAGAAGTAATATAGTATTAAATTGATACTTTCAAAACTTACCTTTTAAAAACTGAAACAGGTTTGTCTGATTCGGTTCTTGATAATCAGTGACATTCATTAAGCTTCCCTTAGTTGATAAACATCAAGCTTATATAGGATGAGAAAGTCACAGTGGACCATGCTACAGAATGCAGAGAGGAGTTCTGCTGCACCTAAGATATATACAATGTGCAATGGATAACCTAATATGTCTTTCATTTAACTGGCTGGGCAGGTTTCTGCATTCTCTGGAACATGGAATCATACCAGAATTTGTTGGCATAACAGTCCTGTCAAACCAGTTCCTTGGTAGAACAAAAACCTGTTCAACCAGTCGGCATCAAAGGGCAGTTCAACATGCTGCGGCTCAACTCAACTCTGAAGCTTCATAAGTGGTGAATTATTCACGCCTCCACCAACTCCCAACATAGAATGTTGTAGCCTCCAGCAAAATAATTTACCAAAGGAGTTAGGGAGTGTTGCGTCCATAACCATATCAAATGCACCATTATCCTATTGTTTCAAACTCTGCATTTTGATGCACCTAGATGGAGTTTCTGATGCATAGTTTGAAACAAACCAGAAAGCTTTATTTACATTAAGGATTGTTTAAAGCATTTTTACAAATTGAACACAAAACCCAAAATCTACTCCTAGATTACATTTTTTGCTAATTGAAAATTAAATGTTGAAAAATAGTCAAAGATGAATTATTCCCTTATACATGTCACTGAATTGCTGGCAGCCGTAAAATACTATGCTTTTTTATTAAGTGTCATCTGTTGTAGAATATTTATACCAGAGAAGCAGAAAAACTGCATGTAAAAGTAAGACATGAAACCTGTTTGAAACATCATTATATATGGATAGACATCTATCCCTTATTTCCAGTCTACTATAACCTATTGTAGGCTTTTCCGTTAATTACACTTTACAGCCCTACAGAAATCTCCTTAAATACACATTGTAAGTAATCCAATCTCTGATCAAATATGATTTCCTTGCTGACCTAGTGAGTTCATAGTGGCAGTGTAATTTTTCTTAGATCCCTAGAATGTTTAATGCTTCTTTCATAGGGACCTTCCAGATGATTGATTCATTGAGCATAGGAACCTGATGGTCAAGTCACAGCAACAACTCACTCTGAGACATCTTCCCAAGTCAAGGACAAATGCAGTAGTGCCAGAAAGAAGATCTGGCTTTTGTCATAAGCTTTGGAATAATATGTGACTGGAGCCCCGTAAGGAAATGTATTTGTTTATATACATCTTTTATGCACCTGTCTGTCTCACACTAGTGACTGGGTGTTTACAAGATCAGAAACAAGCAAATCCCCCCAATGGGATCCTCAGCACCTGATGCTCAAGGATAAACTGGATTTATAATATGGGTGTTTTCTTTTGTATCAATTTTAATATTTTGTTACTATTTTTATCATTGTAAGCTGCCCAGGTTTATGGATTGTTGGTGACCAAATATTTTAAGTAAGAAATAAGTTAAGTAAGTAGGTAGGTAGGTAAGTAAGTAAGTAAGTAAGTTTTGATTGGTATTCAGTATTCAGTTTCTTTCCTGTGAATAACATTGCCTTGTCTATGGAAAATGTATGTGAGACAATATAAAATTACTTATACCAGTGGTGATGAACCTATGGCACGCGTGCCAGAGGGGGTACTCGGAGTCCTCTCTGTGGGCACGCGCGCTGTCGTCCCAGCCCTGCCTCCCCCTGTGGCCCCCTCCTCACCAGTAGCCCCCCCTGGAGGAGAGTTGCCCCCAGGCATGGCCCGCACAGAGTAGTGCAGCCAAGCACATGGCAGCAGGGACAAGTCTCCACCCTCGTGCCCTGTCGCGTGCAGATGATGCTGCAGGGCGCGGGCGGAAGGTGTGGCCGCCACGGTGCTGCAGGGTAACTGGGCGATCTGTGGCGGGCCGTGAAGGCAGCGGGTGGCCCTGCAAGGTGGGATGGGCAGGACCGGGCAGGCCGGGGGTGGAGCAGCAGGGCGGGATGGGGGACAGGGCGGTTTTTGGGCACTCGGTCTCTAAAAGGTTCACCATCACTGACTTATACAGTATATTGAAACATGACAGGCTAAAAGAAACAGATGTATGCAAGTAGGGTTGTCAACACAATGTTAGTTTTGTCTAGGTCTTTTTAGCTGCTTTGTGGAATTCTGAAAGTCTAAAGTTCAGCTACTGAGGAAGGAAATATAATTTGCCTTACATATGTTATTTGCCTACTTATTTTTATTTATAGCCTTCCCTCTATATGTTGGTCTAATTTGGTGTACAAATGAATGCTGAACTTCCATTCATGTTCATATCATTTTGCAACCACCACAGAAGTATCATAGTTATCTGTTGAATATTTAATTTCATTTTAGAGTTTAAACTTATCTTTCAGGTGTAAATACTTTCAGGATTTCCAAAGTGGCTGAAAAAAACAATAGTAAAACTAAAATCTTTATATAATATTTAACATTAAATCAGTTGTTGGACATTCATAACCCAAATGACTAGCTATAAAGTAAGTAAGCCCCATAAGAATCACCACCACCTAGTTTATGAGAAGTACATCCTCATTTTTATTTTCAGTTTATAACTACAAAATCTTTTTTTAAAAAAATATTTAAATGTATCCAGGCTAAAAAGATTATTGATGTATCGCACAATTTGCAGTTCGTACTGTATGCAGATAATATAAGAATAAAATAGGTGCCATGATAGATCTCTCTAATTGCAAAACATCTTCTTTCATTCCGATAATATTACCTTTCAAGGAGAATGGGAAGAACATGGTAAACAAGTGAGAACCATGCACAGAGATGAATCTGCATAATGAAATGACAGGAAGCCAAGGAGGACAAGGGAATTTCTAGCCCAAGTGTCTTGCCCATATCCCTTATTTATCAAAACAGCATCACTCTGGAAACCTCCTGCCAGCTTCTGGATGACCTTACTGTTCCCAAACAGTATGGTTTAGAATTGTAACGACTAAATTGTTATCTACTTTGGGAATTCTAATATTAATAAATTTCAACTAGCAAAATTGACACTCAAAATGAAAAAAAGAGACTTCAGTCACCTTTTGGTCTGTATTATTTGTATGTATTGGAATATTAGACAAAACCATAGAGGGAAACCTATATGGACTTTCAGATGAAGTTACTATTGGCAGCCTTGATGATATAACTCTCATATTGCCATTGTTTGACCTCTCTGTACAATGAGAGTTATGCACAGGTGTGTGGAGGTATAGAATTGAAGACTAGCATGCCCTGGAACAGAGAAGCATTGAGACAGAGGCACAGAAGACTGGTTTCTTTTATTCTTGATCATCCAAGATCTTTCTACAGTTTCATACTGTCCCCTTCCCCACAGTGCCATAGTACTCATGCTTGGTTAACATTTGATGTTTGATTATATATTTAATTAATTTGACTTGTCTTTAAGGAAAAAACAGTATGTCCTGTCATTCACTTTGAGCTGCTTTTCCCAGGCCTAACCAACACAATAAGAGTTCACCTATTCTCATCAGTTACATTTATGCAATGGGATGCCCATGTTGCAGTTCAGCTGCCTTTGTAGCTGCCTCCCATACTGACCACTAGCAGATTTCTGTTCCTCATTTTTGTTTTTCAGCAATGCAATTCAACCCCCAATGGCATTGCAGCATCTTTAATGAAGAAGGGCCATTCTTTTTCTTTGGAAGCACAAGATCATATAGCCTTGTTCCAAGGGATGCTTTTCTCTTATTTTTGTTTGGCCTCTGAAGAATCTCCCAGGAAAGAATGAAGTCCCAGGAATCTTAGCTAATGACCATGATTAGAACATATACATCTATATTAGATAGCAGTCTTCTCCATGTTGACAGATGACATGGGATCATTGTTCTGTAATAGCTTCCTGATCTTTGGATACTTAACCTTACCAAGTGATGAGTTACACACTTGATACAGAATCTTGATTGAATTCTACTTAGGACTGCCACAGAATCATTTATCTGGATGTTGCTTCTTGTGTATCCTCCAAAGCTAAGCTTGATCATTCAAGCAGACTTGCACTTCACCATCTGAACTATTTTCCACAGTTAGAGAGGACATGATGCATAAATTCTACCAGGGTCTAAAATGCTTCATCCAGGCCACACATAGAACTCTTTGTTGTTTGCCACATTTTAGGAATCCTTCGGGCAGTCCAGTGATTAGCTTAGGCAAAAGATTCTGCTGATTCCTCTCCAAATGCTTCATAATTAAATAGTAGGCTCAATATGGCACACCGTTCTTCAGTCTCAGCATTGCTGGTCTGGGTGCCAGAGATCAATTGATGAACTCTGTAAGGAAGAAGTGAGGAACAAGAGCAAAAGAAGAGCCAAAACTGAAGTTGCCATAAAGAGAGGTTGAGCAGAAATACTGGTTCTGCGTAAGCTGCATTGCTCCTCCCATATGCATGAGTGCATCATGAGTCAATCTAGAATGCATTCAGACATGAGGATACCTTGCAAGCTGGCCTGTCCAGAATTGCAGTGAGATGGAATAATGAGTGCATCCCTATGGTACTATCTGATGGGTTTGTCCCATGCATGATAGCAGGCTCATAAAATTAACTTTCTAACATAATGTCAGTAGCAAATCATCTTTGTTGTTGAGTGTATCCTCTTTTGTCCTGCTATTACTTGTTTGTCAGCACCAGGCTATATATAGAGAATAGGATTGTTTACAAGTTCTTGTAGTGTGTATGCATAAAGAGATTGGGCAGGAATCTAGGTGTTAGCATGCTATGATACAAACGGAATTGGAATTAGGAAGCATGCACAGACATGTAGTTTCTTATCTATTTGGCTTTTGTGCATGGGTTGAAGACATGAGGTTTCTGCTTTTGGGTCCCTGTTCTCTACTGGTCTTTCTGGTTCACTTTCCACTTCTAGTTCCCCATCATGTGTTTTTGTGTAAGCAAAGATTAACAGCACAATATGCATTGTTGAAGTACTTTGAATATTCTGCATTCTACCCCCAGAACACTGTAGAGGAAGAACTTCTGCCACTGCTTGGTGGCAGTTGTTGTGCATGGCTGAAAACTTTGTGTTTTGCAATAGTACCTTCTTCTCCACTCCAATTTCTCCCATACTTTAATATTTATTAACTGCCACACATATGAAATGTGTACCATTATCTCCATAAATGTTCTGGCACAATCAATAAATA